CAATACTTGGCTGACGCATGGTGAACATTTTCCGGAAACGATGTTTTCGTTCATTATGCTGTACTGTAGAGGCAGCATTCGTCTTCACATTGTCTTTGACGGTTTCAGCATCATTATCCAATACTCTGAATAGATCTTCATACATTATCTGAAGACCTAAGAAGGATTTCAAACGTAAAGAGAATCTGAATAAAATTTCATCAACGAACTATTCAATTGTTTGCGTAACTGTCGAATTTCTTTCGAACTATAACTGGAACTACGTCGAGTCAGATTGGGTGTGGATGTACGAACATGTGAATGTTTGCGTAATTTAGTTGCACTGAATTCGCTAGTTAAATCTGACCAAACGTCACTCACTAAATCACTTGCCGCTTGATCATTATGATGACCGACACCTAAACGGGAAACAACGGTAAGGATGTCGATGTATCCAGACAAAATGAGTACTTTTACCATAATCTTTACTTGGTATTTCAGTGACAGTTATTTCTGATTCTGACTCATCATCGTAAAGATTGAGTCGACTCGTCGGTCGATCACCTCTGACGTTTTTACGATCGATTAGTGTTTCCGAACTCGCTCGAAGTGGATTTTCATTCCGACGTGATCTATTGGTATGATTATTCAGATCTCTACTTGCTGGAGATGATGGTGGTACTAACAGAAAAAGTCGATTACTCGTATTTTCTTGGTTCATTGCTGATACACTATCGTTATCGTTCAGATGAGTGTGCGTTCTTCCGTGAGTCAATCCTTGTTCATTAGGATGCACAGGTTTGGTAGAATCTTTGGTTCTGACCGAACGACAAGGTGTTGGAGGTGGAGAATGGGAAGGTTGTTGTTCCATGGTAACATTTGGTTGTACATCGATAACTTGCGGTGATTTTCTTGACGTAGATGTTCGTCTCATGTCATTGTGGGATTCGATTTGTGTCTGACGGGAATTCGCGTAAGTTTCAACTAGAAAACGAAGTACCCCAAAAACTCTTTTCGATTATAGTGATGTGTTCAATACGATACCAGTAGCAATAGATGAAGTTGGATGCGATAATTGGTGGCGATTTTCTTGTGCTGAACTTTGAAATTGGGGATGAACACTGACTTCTGGTAATGCTCGTTGATGTTTGTCAGATGGTGATGAATGTGAAGCAGGAGATAGTTTACGGGATTTAACTTTTTGTTGATTGGTTTCGGTTTTACTAGTCTAATAAGAAGGCTTTGATAAATATAGTATAACTACTGGTCTTTACTTTAGTCTTCTTGGAATTATTATTGAGCATTGCATTATCTGAACTAGATGGTTGAACATCGACTTCCAAGTTAGTTGAAAAAGCACGTAGTGGTGTTGACGTACGAGCGTTCACATAATCATTTATCGTCGCTGCTGTTGATCTTGTAACAATCAGTGGACCAGTTCCAGTTGTCACTCGGTGCTGTGATGCACTCGCTACTGCAAAAAAATTCGTCGGCCGTCGTGATGTAAGGTCAGGTGGTAAAGGTTTTTTCGTTTCATTCGATCCTTGGAAATAACAGTTTGTCGATGTTGTCGTGCCCGTATTTTGATAAACTACTGGTCGAGTAGTTGTCGACCGAGCGGTAAACAGTTCATTAAGAGTTGTCAATGAGCGTGTTCCTGGCATAGGTGAATTGAGAGGATCTGGACGTAACTTATTCGCTGTTTGTGCTAAAGCCATATTTACATTTTGTATTGTTGCTTCAGTGTGTGAACGAGCGAAACCATTTGTCTAGAAGCAAGGATAAATTAGCTTTGTAAAAGTCTTTAGTGAGGATTTTACACGAGAAGACGAGTGTTGGCGATCGTCTCTACGAATACAAAAAATGTTTATACGATGAAAAGTAAAATGTCGAAACACTACTGACGAGTTTTCGTTGACTAGTGTTTGTGTGGTGAGAAATTCGCGAACGGGTTTCAATGGTCGTTGTGAAACTTGCGATTCAATGTGATTGCCAGGCTGAATTTACTTTCAAATGATGAATACGTACCGAAAGAAATCGTCGTACTCCTTACCGAATGGGAACGCGCCCGATTTTCATCAGTTTTCACACCAAATATTGTCACTGGCGTTGCTTTACTGATCACACTTCGATAATGTTTTGGCACCGAACCTGGCGAACTGAAATTCGTGGTGTATCGCGCATCATTTGATATTGGTTCAGCTTTTCGATTGTCTTTTTTCTTGAAATAAAACAAATAAGAAATCGTTCACTCGCTCAATTTGGTTTTCCTACGGTGAATTGTTGCACTTCGGTTTTTTTCGTTCTCATTGATCACGATGATAAAGTTTTGTGAAGAAGAAAAAGAAACGTCGATGTGAAATCGAATTGGAATAAATTTATGAATATGTTTATATAAGATACTTGAAAGACGAAGTTGATGAAAGGAAAAAAATCGATAAAAAAGTAACACTTGAGTAAATATTCTTTATCGAAAGTTTTCTTTCTTTACCTTCAACTTCCGAATATCAGAACAATCCAAATCAAGCGCAGACATCCCTAATTTACCATCGATAGGTGATTTTATTATTGAATGAAACTTAAATCGTTGACATTTTTTACGCGAACAACGAAATTGTCGTGATCAACAAGAGTGAAGAACGATTGAAATCAGTTTCTCGTACTTACCTGATGAAGCGCTCTCTCTCTCTCTTTCGTCTCGCTGTTATTGTAAAGAACGAAAATATGACATTGTTGTCGAATTGCAAAACAAATGAACGCGACGATTTATATTGCCGTCACAAATTTTCGTTGAAAGGATTCGATTTTGACTCGAATGTTTTCGAAAATAATTCAGTCGAATTAGCATAGTCAAGATCGTCATGCAACGGAGATATTTAGTTTGTTTTCCGAAGCCATACGATCGAATGAAATGAATCATCGGCAGCATTAAATGAACCACCGGATGTGCACGAAGAAAAGTTTATTCAACGAATCCAGTTTGTTTGGTTTATTTTTTTTTTCAATTAAAATAAGGATTTTACAAAAGAGAGAATTGAAAAAAGAAGGAGATAAGCGTTTTCGGTTAGTTTAGAGCATGAAAGCTAAGTCTTTGTTTTCTTCGCCAATACCATAATAAAGTGAACCATAACGATTTGTGCCTGGAATATGAAAGAATGCCATGCCAGGCCATTTAAGGCTACGGATTTGAACTAAGCCACTTCCACGTTCGTATTGAACACTCCAACCTAGAAGAATTGCAATTTGATTAGGAGGAATAGCGAGAACGAATGTACCTTTCGGAACATCTTCATCAATGGGATCGAGAAATTGAAGACTTTTCTCGAGAGTACTTCGTTGGACTAAACTTTTCTTCGGAAGATGAACGGGCTCACAAAAATGATAATAATTCGATAATTTAGTACTTTCAGCAATGGTCAATCCTATAAATATCCGAACAGTTGCGTTGCAAATGCATATAATGTTTACGATTATACCTTCGAACGTACGATTTCGCTGAACATCTCCATTTGGCTGAAGAATGTACGCAGTGTATGGAACAATTAAAGCATCTTGTTCAATTCTCCATAAACTAGCAGCTAATCGATCTTCTTCACGTAGGGTTGTCTTGAGAAAAAAAAGTTCTTTTACAATCAGTTTATCATCATTTCTCTCTTACTTTAATTTCTTCGATATTTTCGTCTTCGGTATCTTCATCAGTTATTTCATACTTAACGACTTCGAAATCATTGGATGGGTCTCCGGTGAAACGTCCCTGACACACATCGACTAACTCTTTTGCTTCTTTACTTGGTGGATTCAACATATTCCAATTGATACAATCTTTGCTAGATATTATAAATGAAAAATAGACTCTTAGAAAAGAAACGATTGAGACTCAATAACAATATACCTATAGAGAAATTGTCGATGGCGAAGTTCATCTTTTTGTCGGCCTTGAACAATGAAATAATCGTCATTAATACCTAAGATTTTTCCCCAAAAATGAATTGTTTTGAATTTATATTGTTCTTTGAGAATAATCAGCGATGTTTGTAACGAAGCACGTTGTTCAGGACTGAAAGCAATACCACTGAACGCAAGTAAATCAAGATCAAGAATGAAATCCTTAGCTTCGATACCCATCTTCACTAAATATGCAAACGATTCGATGATACAAATAGCGATCTCTTCGATAGAATATGCAACAAGTTCGTATGTAAAATGCGTTGCTGCGAAACCACCATCATCAATTCTAATCGAGTTGACAATTGAGACAGAGGTCGCTTTTTCACGATTGCATGAACAGATTTTCTTTCATATACCATTCCGTTTTACTCAATTCGTCAGATACTATTAACGTATCTGTAATCTAATAGTTTTCATAGATTTTGAGTGGTTCTCGAAAGGAAGGAAGTCGGGCAGAAATGTGTATCAATACAAAACTGTAGAATTCGTCCAGTTGCCTCTGGAAAAGCTTTCGCAAGCGAATCCGTAACTAAGATATTGGATAGAAAATAGCTGATATAAATGACGTCGCTAAGAAAACCATAAACCAATTCCTGGCCTCCATCGTGAGCTTTCATATTTTTCTATTGGTCTGTTTATGAACGGTAGATTTATTCTTTTGATGATACTAACTAACTCGTTGTAGTCACATTTCCTTAGTTTTTGTGGTTTAAATACGAAGAAAACGTCGTTTGAATATATATATATAGAAACTTGCACAGCATGTAGATGAATTTGTTAAACTAGGCAGGTAAAAAAGCAAATTTTGTCAGCTAAATTAATCTGTTAAAGTGTGATAAAATGACATGAAGTTGTTGTAGTTCGACTGGAGAACATTGTTTTCTTGATTAGTTTACTGTTTCAAAAAGTTCTCACACATTCAAAGAAAATCTAGCGTTCAAGATTGATTTTGTATCGTATTCTCAATATAAAGAAACACTATGGAGATTAAATGGAACTCGTTTTCTACAAACTCACATGAAAAACCTCAATTCTATACTCTTTTGTCCATATTAGATTGAGAATATTTAAATATGTATGGTCGATCATTATGTATGATATCTCGATTGGCTATAAAAACATCTCATGTTGGAAGTCGATGTCTTGTTGCGTCCTATAATAATCATTTACTTGACTTTTCCCAACAACCCAACCGATATTTAGCTCAACAAATCCCAAATAGGCGACCACCGAGTCGTATTCGACGATTTCTTCGTTGGTTTGGATGGGGGGCAGAGCCAGTCGTATCAACTCTTCCACAACCACCACCACCTGCTACCACAATGCAACGAGTCAAACGTTTTCTAATGCTCTCACCTTCAATCGAACGGTTTCTCCTTCGATCTCATATTATCGAAGATGAAGATTTAGCAAGATTACTTTCTAAAACTGCCGCTATATCAATCTATGCAATAATAACAGTGACGACACTTGGCACACTTGGAGTCGATACAAAACCGCTGCTAGCTGGTATTGGTATTACTGGTTTTACTATTGGTTTTGCTTTGAAAGAAGTAGCAACAAATTTCATATCGGGAATCTTTCTTGTCATCAATAAACCATTCGTTCGAGGGTGTCGGATCAAAATTCATGGAAGTGGCGGTGGAATCGAAGGTAAAGGACAATCTTAACTGGAGTTCTTCTTTATATTCGTATATCAAAATGAAAAAAGGTCTTGTCCATCTAATCGACGTTCGATACGTGCATTTAAAAACAAAAGATCGTAAGTGCACTACCTCCTACTTCTCATGAAAAACGAAGATATTCTATTATCACTGTAGGTGGTATGGTATTGGTTCCATCAGCAATCGTTTATGTCAACGCTTTTACAGTCTTTCCCGCAGATGACGAAGCGAATGCTGGCTTTTTGGATATGACCAAACCACCGACAACTGATGCAACAAAACCATCAGAGTCATCACCAGCATTACCAGCAACTAGTACTTCGAAACAAAAGCCGTTAAAGATGAAATTTGAGTCGGAACCAGCTGGGTCCTTCAAAAAATCGTCATTGAATGAAAAACTATGAAATATTTTTATTTTTCTCTCTTTTTTTCTGTATCATAAGCTTTTTCTAATAGGACTACAAGTAAAATACAATATTCGTTTGTCATACACAAACTTCAAATATCGAACAGCACAGTTTATAGTTCGTTCATGTCATTTTATATAACATCAGGAACACAAACACTATCTTCTCGATCGAACACGGGTCGTTGACTCGATTTCGTACGAAAATTTTCATTGAAAACTCCGCGTGTCCACATTAACGTTTCATCACAAACTTGCATCGCCCAATGTGCCTTTCGAGGTTGAACGAGCCAATCCGGATCATTGATCAGTAGATCTAGAATATGCGAAGCATTGTACCAGTCAACCAAAAGTCGACCATCGATCGGTAATTCAGTTTGACGTGAACGTATGTAAGATATCAGTGAATTTAAGTTCGGAAATTTCCAAACGCATTTACTCGCGACTTCAATAATCGATTCAATTGCACGTAGGATCATCAACAAAGCAGTTTTGGTTATCGAAGTTGCCAATCGAACTTGTTCGACGTTGTTCTTGTTCAATTCCAGCATATGATTGAATGTACGTTTCAGTTCGATAAACTTTTCGCTGAGATTGTCTAAGTTGAAATTTCCAGTCTTGGCAAATAGTAGTTCATTTTCGAATGCTTTAAAATCGTTTGCATGAGGGACGGGTGATGTTTGCGAATTTTCCTTTGCTGGTAAATCAAAAGCATATTTGCGTAGTTGTTCATTCTTGTGAAGTTCAGTGTTATGTCGAAGTTGATCAGCAAGAGCGAGAACATGTGACCAGCGACTACGTGCGAATTGGCCAGTTTGATTCGCACTCGAAGAAGAAGGCTCTTCTTTGTTTAAATTCGATGCTGATGATTCATTCATGATGTTTTCTAGAATAGAAAAAAAAACAGAGAAGTAAATGTATATCGATCGAGGTAAAACACATTTCTTGTTTTCCTTCTTTTCATCTTACAACGATCAACATTTGTGATAAATCTCGTTCTCGGATAGACTATATAGTCCTCTATTGATTTTTTTCTTCTCCATCTTTGTCGAAGGAAAAGCTATACTGTAGTTCTGTTAGTTGATGCATCAGTGCATTTATTTCTCCTCCATTCTTCTCTCACCGACTGAGCCAAGAGAAAAAAAAAGAGGAGAAGGAAGGAACATGTCATTATTTGCACCACTCACGACTGTCAAAAGCAAGCATTTTCTACGAGCGTTTCTCCTTCCTCGTAGAACCACACTAATGCCTATGCTTCGAACGACAAGAGAAGGGAAACTCACCAGTGACTTCGATCTAATTATGAGAAGAGAGCCAATGTCTTAATAAAATTAATATAAAGATTGTTCGATGTCATTCGAAGAACAGAAGAAAATCGAACCAGTACGAGTGCATAACCTCGTTTCTTGTTATGAAGCACGTTAAGAGTAATCACTTATTTTGTTTCTTTTATTCTTGACGTAAAATATATATAATTCACCAAATTGTGATTGAAAATATTGCTATTTTCTCCTGGGCAGTGATTAATCCCAATTCATCATAGTCATAATTTGACAATTTTACATAAATGATTATTAACAGACGAAAATCGTCAGTTTCCTATCGTTCGCTTTTCGTACTCTATGATAGTGATTGATCATGTCGGCCGATTATGTGTGAAGTAACTGTGAATGGACTTATCTATTATTATTTGTGTTGTATCATCCATCGAAACAAACACTTCATCCGTATCCGTTGTTCACATTCAAACTACTGCAGTAGACAGAAATTTCTCTGTGAAAAGTATATTCCACCGGCGTGAAAGTTCACGAATTTTGTTTAGTAGTAAAAAAAGCGGCACAAAGCGAAATTTTATACAACGAATCACGTCAATTGTTGCTGGACAAATTGGCGCAATATGTATCCAACACAATGACTTTTATATCCCGGTAAGCTTAATACGAAAGTGAAATCGCATCTGACAATCTCCTATGTGTGGAGTACCAGCTATTGGCGGCATTTTTCGTGCATGCATGGCAACTGCTTTGGATTCTTATTTCACTGTTCTTGCTGATGGGAGATTAACGAAATATTATAGTGCATCTTTGACCGGATATCAATCGGGCATGTTTTGTTTACGAAGATCAGAGAATATGCATTTTAGGTTGGTATGGCACTAAAATATTAGTTCAAATCTGAGGTAGTTCGGCTTCGTGTTTCATTCTGTGTTGCACTCGACACGAACTTTAGTGTCTCTCGTTTTCACTATTACCTTCCTCAGCCGGAGAAGACCCAGTCAAAAAAGTAACATTTCAGGAGAACATTTTTATCATGTAATAAAATGTCATATTCATTTGGTTTATAGACGATGAATCAGAAAGGTTATTCCACAAATCATTATCGTATAAAAAATCGACCATAAAAGAATTAATAAGGCCAAAGCATCTTCGTCTATTCCCAATTGGCTTTTGGTTGACTACTTCCGAAGGATTTATCATCGAAGCTTTTGATTGTACACGTATAAAGGGATTGTTTAGAGTTTTATCAACTGCGTAAGGGATGTTGAATATGTCGGCAAGTTTTATCTGTGCTTCTTAATGAGCCTTGTTTTTTCTCTCTGGCAGCTCTAACGAGCTGCGCAATGTACATCATAATGCTCGTGTGGAAAGCGAATCTCTCACAGATTTATCTACTTTTCATTTTGCCGTGCCTTTCAAATATTGCTGAGTCGCTAACAGAACCGTTTATCACACGTCTGGTTTATTTTGAAATGCTTATTATAGCTATTTACACTGTATTTTTCTAGTTTCGTACAACGTATTACTACAGGAACGAAAAGAAAGTACTTTTTCATCATTGATTCTTGTTTACTCGTCTTCACCGATGGTTTCTGCGCGTATGGGGATTGATGTTTAAAAAATCAGGTATTCAATAAACATTTGTGATCTACTGTAATATATCCGAGGAATAGTATGCATAGTAAATGGAATTGAAAGACTTATTATATGAATGTGCGTAAAATCTTGCATGACACTTTTGATAATAATTCTGATGAGAACAATCTCTTCTCTGATTCCTAAGAGGCAACTGATCAACCATATGTTGAATACTTTTCTTTATTCTATATTTACTTTTTGACTGCGGCATGACCAGCGTTACGGAATTTCAGTTTGACAAATTGTCACGCCCATATCTCCTCACTAATAAATGCAAACTCTCTAAAATTTTTACTGTGTACAAAGACTAGTTAGATCTAACACTGATATAAATTTCATTTATTCTTTTCTATAGAAAGCGAAGTTATTCAAAAAAATATGAGCCGTTACGGAATTTCTGAAACGGACTTGTTTTTAAGGGTTAGATGAAAGTTTAACATATTACTCTAAACTGAAGCTACAAAGAAATAAACGCTCTGTATAAACGTTGCTTGGCTTTGAATATACTTTGCAACTATAAGGTCATTTCTTCTTATGAATATCCATATCGAATAAAAAAGTGACAAGACTGTCCGTTACGGAATTTCATTCTTTTTTAGAGGAACTTTCGTGCTTTTTCAAAAAATCACCTTTCCTACTAAGATAAAAGCAACAACTGATGAAAAAACCATTGAATTATCTTTAACATCGAATTCTACATAAAATACTATACTGTTTACTCGAATCCGATAAAAAAATTTTTTTGACTTTTTAAACTTTTTTGAACACCTAAATTTTCGAAGAAAAATTAAAGTTCATCTCTCGAAAAACTAATTACTCCATTTCGTTTACAATTCGATACTGATTCCAAATATTATCAAATATTTGTATTTTATGAGCAATAATAGCACAAAACACTTATTATTCGTGACATATCCGTATTTCGGAATATTAATGTAATTCCGTAACGTACTATTTAAAAAAACTAAATACATAAAAATATAACCCATATTTAAAAAAGTAGTATATTTAATAGATAGTTACAACAACTATCTAGCTATGAAGCTTTTAAAATATTAAATCTTAATATGAGTGAACAGAAGACATTATGAACAGTTTTCGTTACGGAATTTCATGAAAAATGAGGATAGTTTCTAATTATATGCCAGGACGATATGATAATTGAAGGCTTCTGTAAAGCACATACTCTCATAGAGCATGTCAAACTCTAACAATTGATGCCAAATCGAAACCAGTGAAATCTATTTGTTACTACATAATATCAGCTTTTGTGTTGTGATCTAAATACTTTGGTTCAATACCATTCGCCCTATTTCATAATCAAGTATTTAGCCTCTGGTGATATCTATTTTATACACTATGGCTGATGTCCTTTCGATTAACAGGTCGAGCTTTCATGAGTTTTAATATCAAACTTTCCTCATGGATGGGTGACCTCTGGCTGGTTTTGCCGATATGTAGTGACGTCATTATATAACGTGTTCTTTCAGAAAAGAGAACAATGATTAATATCTTTCTTTATCCGTCCTTTCTCGATTCGACGTTCATTTTTCTCTCTTTTGTATCTATTCTCTGTTCGTGTTTGTAACGATAATGATATCGTTCATCTCTTTCTGTTCTTTATTTTCTCACCTCTATATCATACTATCTCCGGGTCATATCTTTCTTTCCTCTTCTCTATATAAGCGCGTGTCTTATTGTGAAAGAGATACATTCTGGTCATGTAGAGTAGTCAATAAACATCGATACCGTGAGAAGCGGTCAGCTACTCAACCAGTTTGTCGTTACAGTGTTCAGTCTATTCTAGACAATGGATAGTCGTCCATATAAATATACATCGATTTCCTTCACTTTCATTCGTATCAACAGCAATCGAGGCCTCGTTCAACAACGCAAACAAGCAATCCTGTCAAATCATACGTAAGTCCTCACTTTTGATACCGAGTAATGTATCAAACATAATTATGTCCATGAAGGCCTCCGATACACATACATATGTTCGTATGTATGTGTATTGCCTTTCTTGGATGGGTGTGTCCTCGCCATGTTTCATCATTACTATCTCTATACAGAGTTCTACTGTGTACGCGCGCGCGGGTAAATCATTTCTTTTTATTTCAAGTAAAAAAGGTACAGTAATCTTTTATTTCATTGCTCTTTTACAAATTTCGATACTTTCTTTTGCAGTTTTTATATGCGGGTGATTCGCCGGTAATGCACGTTGCCAAATGTCCAGAGCGCGTTCGCAATAGGTGAGTGCTTTCGAATAGTCCTTAGTGTTGCAGTACACCACACCGATGTTGTTGTACGAAGTAGCCAACGAAGGGTGATTCGAAGGAAGAGTTTTCTCTCTAATTTCAAGTGCTTTTTCAAGGAATGAAAGCGCTTTCGAATATTCTCCCATGTTCATGTACACCGCACCGATGTTGTTGTACGAAGTAGCCAAATCAGGGTGATTCGAAGGAAGAGTTTTTTCCCAGATTTCAAGCGCTTTTTCATAGAATGAAAGTGCTTTCGAATATTCTCCCATGTTCATGTACACCGCACCGATGTTGTTGTACGAAGTAGCCAAATCAGGGTGATTCGAAGGAAGAGTTTTCTCTCTAATTTCAAGTGCTTTTTCATAGTATTCTATAGCCATTTTATAATCACCTTGTCGACTTTTCAGCAAGCCAAGTTGATGATAATAATGTGCTCTGTCACTCTCGTCAGACGCTTGTCCCAGTAGCACAGTGTACAGTTCTTCTGCTTTATCCAACTGTCCGAGATTAAGCAATAAGCGACCCAAACGTTTCCATCCTGTACTACCTCGAACTTCACTTTCAATACGATCCGTTAACACACGGAGTTGTGGATCGTCATCAGCAGTCAGCTGAAGTTGGACCTCATGGTAAAGTTTATTCTTGTCACCCACTTGTCGAATTTTGCCGACTCGAAACACGCTGTGCATGGAAAACAGGATCTCTGCTTCGTCTTCGAAATAACTGAGATCCCCAATCGATGCGAATGGAGTAGTACCAATACTCGGATCAATTGTGATCACGAATAGAACACCCACCTTGTCGGGATCACCGAGAGCGCTGTAGGTGAACACAAGAGATTTCTCTTGTTTAATACTGGTGGATAAAAAGTTGTTGAATGATAAAAGACCACCTACAGTTTTTGACAGCTGGTCAAAATCTTTCTTACATAGTCCCTGTCCACGATAGACTACGAAAGGTTTTCCTCTGTAATTACTGACCTGTGCTTGGTGTAGCTGTTGTATTTGTTTGTGTAGATCATGGAGGAAAAATCCCATGTTAATAATGACTTCGCCATCCAAAGTGCGAAGTGCTTGATTGAGCATTTGGTAGGTAAAACACTCACGTGTATACCACCAAATGGCCTTGTCCGGACGATAGTTACGTTCAAACTCGCCGATGACCCTGTGCTCTTCGACGTTCCTTTGAAAACGCTGACGACAATAATCGGCCAGGTCTTTGATTGCTTGTTTGTCATGCTCCATGTCGAGGAGAATCTTCTTAAATATTTGCGTGTACATGAAACTGGGTTCCAGTTGATTGAGATTGGCATTGGAACCCTCTCCTCTTGCGGTGACAAAACTCATGGCGATGGAATCTTGGTTATATTGTTTAACACCCGTCGTCAGTGCTTCACAGATTTCTTTGATATTTGTGTGAATACCTTTGACTTTTGACCAGCTCTTTGTCCAGTTTTCATGTCTGGATTTGTTGCCACAGAAGATGTAGATGGCATTCACTTGTGAAATGCCGTGAATCTCGGGAACCAAGTGTTGCCCTAAGGATCCCGATGTGATGACGAAAGCTTTTTCGTCACCAATGCTTTTGAGGGATTGAACGCAAGCATCTGGCTGAGTGTATATATTGACATCATTGACAACACTTCGTAGGTGTGTCAAAGTGTTCTGACAGTCTTGGTCCTTTTCATCGATGTTGGCATCCACCCAAACTAAGAGGTAGTTTTGAACCATGCGTTGTCGTGGTTGATTACCATGCTTCCTTGCCGTGGAACTTGATTTTGATTTTTGTGCGTCCATTCTGTTGAATAAAGTGAAATTCACAGTATCTGTTTTTTTTTGTGAAAATGAAGAAATTCGCTTCTCTTTTTATATAGACAGCAAATGACGTCGTTCTCTTCTTGAATTTTGCGGAGACGAAAAATATTTATGTTATTGTTTGAATCTTGAGCGAGCTTTTTCATAGTAAAATAAGCAAGGAAGAAAAAAAAACATCAACACAAAAATCGCTTTAAGATGCTCGAAACAGGCGCAGCAGGTAAGAAGCCATTAACGAACTTTGGTTGTTATTCTTTCCAACCTTTTCTTGTCGGTAGTCTTCAGGCAAACTCATTCGAGAAATTGGGTGATTTCTTTTTCTGAAAGAACCACATTTGAGGGTGAGTAGAAACAAACCGGTTTTAATTCCACAAGGAGTATAATTTAAAACAATGGTTGTAGTTAATATGATCGAAAAAGATCGGAAGTCAAAACGTCGAAAAATATTGTTCTATAGAAAATTAAAAAAGACGTATTATTTTTGTAGTAAATATTTTATTCTGTATTAAAACAAGTAGTGCTCGCCGTGCCGACTCACTTAACCTTCGACTGTGGAGAAGTAGTATTTTTTCGTATCCGCAATGTGGCACAAATTGATCTAACAAATTTTTATACACGAAGAAACAGTTCGAATGTCTTGCGCAGATATATGTAGTAACTTTCGAAAACAAAATACTGAATTTTTCCTACTGTTTTTGGAGAGGCATAAAAAACCTCAATTTTATATTACCACTGCAATATGCAATAAGAAGACAGAAAGGACGACGCAATACAATAAGCACTTGAGCCACTTCAATCGAACAACATCGCAACCATACACAACATATCAAATGCGCCACGAAGAATACACAAGAGTAAAAAATATAGAACGTCAAACAGCAATCTTAGTGAGCCCTAAGTCAATCCCACTTTCCAGGCATCTTCATCCTCATCCACATACCTCTGCCCATCAACTTCACTACCACGAGACCAATCGCCATTGCATCCAGAAATAGGCAACTCCGCGAAAAAGCATATCTAACTCCCATTTATGAGTCCAACTGGAACAAACACTCAACCACAAAAAAATTATTTTACCATTAATACAAATTTGCTACGAACACCAGCAACATTCATCACTTACTCGTGTCAGTTTTCTTTCTTTCTCTTTGTCAAATTTCCATATATTGAATAGGTTTAACTCAATGAATTAGGATCACATTTGACACGTCTGACTCTAGCGAATGTATCTTTTGATATCTGTATTTTTCGCCTTCAGTACATTTAGTTACGGTAATACATACGATTATTTATTCGTCGTTCTTTTATTACTCCTAAGGTCACTGGCAGTTGTATAAAACTTGGAACACCTACCCATTTCAACTGACTTCTGACACCACTCTTAGCCATTCCAAACCCCCTCACGCTCATATTCCATTATAAACAAATCGACAAGAACTGAACACCTAACCTACATAAAATCCTCAACTACGGGAACAGATCCTCTGATCATCGATTTCAGCCACCTACGTCCAGTCACCCAGCCCAAAAAAGAACCAATGAACGGTCATCCATATTCATACATCAACCATTGTACTCACCCAAGAGCCCCACCCACGTTCATACGTCAACCCATAGTTTCACCACAAAACCTACCCACACCCATACACCCACCCTCAACCCCTAAAAAAAATGAAAGAACGTGCACAGTCCTAAATCACAAGTTTCACACTGATTTTTACTCTTTCCTTCCGACCCATAATGATAAGGCATTTAACAATTGTTCACTATTCATATCCTGATTGTTATATCGATTATTTAAAGTCTCGATTCGCTTTTGGCAGTTGTCGTGTACCAGCATTAATTTGACTATATAAGTGTTGAAACCGGCATTCTTCACCGATAAGACAATTGATGAAAGACCATATGTTTGAATGGGAACGTTGAATACGTCTATTCAATCGGCTGTGAAAAGCTAAACAAACAGAACATGTTCGAATGCTCAAATAGAATGGAATGACACACCCTCACAAATATTGTTCGTACGATTTGGAGTATCATGAAAATTCCACATTTGGAGTGGTACATCAATCATCCAATGATTTTGAAAATATAAAAATAATTGACGCAGTTCCTGCTATAGTCGGGAATCTAATGATGCTCGTAAATTACAAAATTGATTTTCAACTTCTTGAAGTGGCAAAAGACAAAGTGCCATTAATTTACGACACCATGATCTGATTTCATCGTCTTCAGCATAAGTTGTGCTTAAGTCTAAACTTTGAATACGTCGATTAATACATGATTGTAATGAAAATAATAACCTTGATGAATAGCTTGAGGAAACTAAAATAGAAAACAAATACAGCTTGGCACAATGTGAATATCATGACTCACTTCAGCGGCTACAGCTAATATCAAACCGATTTCAAAATAATTAACAACTCTTTCAGGTTGAAATAATTTGTTTTTCAATGCCGCAATACTTTTTAATTCTTTAAAAAGTTGTTGGTACGTTGATTTTTTTTCGATCTGGTAAAAGATCACACACACAAGAAAGATCTGTGATTAAAAAGAATTACTTTCTACAATACTAAAAACATCTATCATACTTGATCAGACATTGACGGCGTTGCTAAAAACCTACCATCCATGAAAATAATCGAGCTATCAAATAATATCATTCTTGTTTCGCGACGAACCAAGGCATCGCAAAATAAAAACTTTTCTCCAGCAGACGTGAATTTATTATAAATCAGGAATAATATCAAATGAACAACACGTTGGAAGAGCTGGTGTACGTTTTCGTCGTGTTCGATTCAATGCAGAATCTATTTTAAAAAAATCATAATAAAAAGTACGTAAAATTCTCACAATGAAATATTACTTATACTGGAAACCAGTGGTACATTTGTAAGAGTTTCTGGTGACAAATGAGCTTTAACCATCTCTTCATCGTATATCTTCGAAATCGGTGTTGTTTCATTGATAACACGTACTTTAAGAGCTTCTTGAAAAAGTTTAACTCCGATTTCTTCTAGTTGAACGAGATGATTATGTTTACCATTTGATTGCATGAAATTACGGTTGAGATCAGTATGAATATTTGCATTACAGTTTTTGATTTTGCAGATCCAGTAAATCTTCGTTAATGTCTGTTTGTTGCTTTTATAAATAAAACCTTCTTTTACCAACATAGGATTACCTTTGTTAGAAGAAACAAAGGACATGGTATCAACAGCATCAAACATCGTACAGTGAACGTCAAATAGGTAAGATGGAAAAATTGTACGTATAAAATCGTCGAGCGTATATATAGGCGATCATAAGAGAATGTGTTATTTGTACTCTTTGTTTTCGTATATCCTTTATATTTCTATTATTCTAGAATATTCGCTATCCCAGGTCGAACAATCACATACTGGGACCGAATATAGGATTTTATCAGATCCTACAGGAATTCGACGGATCCGATGAAATCCTGGCGACGGAATCGCATTGGATTCCGACGGTCTTGGATCCGATCGGATCCCACGTCGGATCCGAAACATGGATTTCCTGGATTTTCTAAGGGTCATCATAGAATATACCTAAAAAGATCGCTCATAAAATTTGCAACAACCGACGGGATTTTTCTAGTCGGATTCTAATGCAATTCCGCTTCCAAGAATCCGATCAGATTCAGCATCGGATTTGTTGACCTGGGTTATACAATTATGCAATCTCATTGGATTATGCAAACGAACAAACTTTTTGTGTTTTATTGATTGCAGATTCTACTGAATAATGTCGAAAGTAAAAAGATCGAATTTAAAAAGATCGATAATAAAAAAATATCGAATACGCCAATTATACAAACATCGAAAGATGAACAAGGTGCGAATGATTTCGTTTGAGAAAGGCATTGTTCTTCACCCTCACCCTCAATCTTACACATCTATCTGCACTCTCATTTTTGTTTTCGAATGGTTTGATTTTCGATATTTTTATTTCGACATTTTAACATTTCGATCAATTTCAGGTTAACCGATCGACTTTTACCGTAGGTCTAGAACATACAGAAACCAAAGCTGTCTGTTTGTGTTGCCTTTAATTTTGATTGTACTATTTATGCAACATATCAATTATGACGGAGTACAAAAATCTGCTCAAATGAAATATTCGTAGTCGAAATGTTGTTATCTAATCATTTATTTACAGACAGATATAAGTGTTTAAAAGAAGAATTGAGATTCATTCATAATGTGGATAGTATTTTCAAAAACGAAAAGAAAAGAATAATACCAGTTTGACCCACGCCAAGTAAAAAACAAAAGAACGGTTTAATCTCCACGGAAGCTGCGTAGAATATCGCTGAAAGTAATGCGCCTAAAATAAACCGGATCATTTCGTTGTTCTTCTACGCATAGAAGAAAAGTTATATTTACTGGTAAAAGCTGATGGAATAATCGGAGTGATGATTCCTGCCAATAGAATCACTACTGAATACCATCGTCCAATCTTATGACTTCGTAAGGATCGAACCGCAATTATAGTTGCCATTAGATGCACAACAATTGAAGTCATAAAGCACCAGAGAAATATTTCCGCCCATATGTCTGAAAGAGACAAATATAGAAATGTAAATTCGAAAGTTCGATCGAAATCACCTCCGAACTCGAGAAGACGATGTTTCGGTGTTAATTTGAGAGAATCAACAAGACGTCGGAACGATAGTTCTTTGAGGAATTCTCGCATTTTAATGAATGAGTGACCATACATCATTCATTCATTCATCCTCTTCCTGTATCCTATTTGTTTTCTTTTCAGCCAATCACAATGTGCGACATCTTCTCGTCGAAGGCATTCCCTAAGCAACATTGTTCCCTTATGGTACTGCTTACATTCATCTATCATATTTTGAACATTTGACTTTACTCATAGAATCATGCGTTTAAAATTTACATTTCCGTCAACTCTCCGTCATACGGATCGTTGCAATTGTGTCGGATGGATGTCATCGGATGATTTGTATTCTGTTGGAGAAGATCATATCGTATATAAATATAATATCATCAACAATGAATTGATCAAAGTAGCTGAATTACCACAAGATCTATATCCACTTGATATGCATTGGATACCTAAAGGTGCAAGTCTCGGGGGAGCGGGCACAATAGGTGCAGGTGCAAAACGAACAATTGGTTCGGATCTTTTTGTTTTAGCAACAAGCGATGGTGAGACAAATTGAATTTAGTGTCCTGAATGAAACTTAATGATTTATTTCTGATTTAAGGCAAATTTTGTTTTATTAATAAAACTGGCCGCGTTGAAAAATCTGTCGAAGCACATCGGGGCGCAACTATTTGTGTTCGTTGGAGCCCTGACGGAAGTCAATTTGCTACAGGTAACTTTCCATCCTATCTATCAAGTTTTTCGTTCGCACATTTTCGTTATGTATTAAGGAGGTGAAGACGGACAAGTAAGAATTTGGGCACGATCTGGAATGTTACGTTCGAATCTAACTCAATCACGTATGTATAAGCATTACCCGAATCAGCATATGTGTCACATGTCATGTATAATTTATGCTGTGAAAGTTTCATATTCGCTTGTAATTCAAGATGTGCTTTTATCATGTTAATTCAACAGAATGTTTCTGTTGTCTTAATCGAACTTTTGTTTTTCAGCTACACC